CAGACGACACCGTTCTTGTATATAAAGATAAGGAGATTGAACTACTAAAAACAATGATAAGCACAGATCTCGCACGCTATTATGAGTGGCTTAAAAATAATAAACTTCAACTCAACACTAAAAAGACAACATATATAATTTTCACACAGAAAAACAAAAATGTACAAAATCTCACAGTGGAGATAGGAGGAGAAGAAATATCTCGAGTTCATGATGTTAAATATCTAGGATTAGTAGTTGATGAAAACCTAAATTGGTGTAATCATATTAACCACATAGAAAAAAAAGTAGTACCTATGATAGGTGCCCTATATCGCTGCAGAGACTACCTAAGCCCTTCATTACGCCAAATCTACAGTGCATATTTCTTATCAATATTTACATATTTAATTCCAATATGGGGTACATGTGGAATAACACTTTTCAATAGAATTAAAGTTCTTCAAAATAAAGTTATAAAAATCTTATTCAGGTTAAATTATAGAACATCAACAGATGTAATATACAAAGAAACTCAAATCCTACCAATTCAAGACAACTTGAAAATTGAGCAAGGGAAATTTGCATATAAGGTTATAAGAAATGAACTTAAATGTAATACCAACTTTACTTTTGTTAATCAGCTACATGATCACAATACCCGAACACAAAATAATATCTTCTTAGAACCTGTGCGTACCAATATGGGCCTAAACAACCCCATCAGTCAGTGCATGAAGACTTACAATACTCTTCCCAAAGAAATAACAGATAGCCCAAATGTTAGTATTTTTAAGAATCAGATAAAAAATTTCTATACTCATAAACTGAATGAGAGACCCACATAATTTTAAGTTGAGCAATGTAGGTTGTAGGTATATTGTAAACATTAGGGAGAGTTGTGATTAGATAGGTAGGTACATACTGTTTCCGCATCCTATGATATTATAGTTGATATACATATATAATCAATTTCGAATTGTAATTGTATATGTTGCAATTGTTTTTTTAGTAAGTTTTCCGAGACCAGCATTAGATGCTGCTTTGGATAAACCTTTGTCAGATACTGCATTAATATTTAACATTCATTTAACATATCTGTATATCTATATATTATTTTTTTTTTTGTAGCACTATCTGAATAAAGTTCTTGAAAAAAAAAAAAAAAAAAATGTAAAATCCGATCTTAGACTGTTATATGTTAGCTACAAGTGTTTAAACATCTCATGACATTAGACAGTGAAAAATAACTATTTAAATGTCCTCAGACAGTGAAAAAATATGGTATGTTAAATGTCTTCAAGACAGGGAAAAAATATGTATGTTAAATGTCTTCAAGACAGGGAAAAAAGTACATGTTAAATGTCCTCAGACAGGGAAAAAATATGCAAGTGAAATGTCCTCAAGACAGGGAAAAAATATATATATGTTAAATGTCCTTCAGACAGGGAAAAAATATGATGTATATGGAAAATTCTGACCTTAGCTGCAAGTTCTGGATTTTTGAACCATGAGATTCCAACTGTGGTCCACTAGATCTCACTACCTGGATGAACAAAGACACTCCTCCCTCAGTCGGCGTTAGGGGTTAGGTGTGCTAGGAAAACTGGATCCCCACACAGCTGACAGGAGTCACAACCACCTGGAGACCTGGGCACTTGGTGTATCCCAGGGCAACTGGATTCTGCACTGCAACTCTGGCTGACGGGTCCACAGGCTGCCACCAGGGCAAGCTCTTCCTACCATCCAAGCTGGACCAGGACGTCTCACTATCTGACTGGGCTCTGGGAGTTCAGGCTCCAAAGTAACAAAATCCTAGGGATTAAGGATCAATCAACCATACCGGGAGTCTGGACTCCCCTGGACTTCCTGTCAGAAGTCAGGATCACTAGCTATCTGAACCAGAAGGGCTGCTAGGGACTTGCACTGTTGGCAGCAAGGATTCTGCCAGAAATTCCAGGCTGTCGGGTCCTATAGATGCCCAGAGACATACACAAGAAATCACCAGGGTCTTGCTTCCACCTTCAAGTGTGTTGGTGACTCAGGCTTCAAAGCACGAAGATCCCTCAGGTGCCTCAACCATTGAAAAAAGTGTCCACGTGATGTCCAAACAGTGAAGTCCAGAAAACAGTTCAAGATTTCTAAATGCCCATAGTTGATGAATGATTCGATTTTTAGTGATCCATCCAGTTAACAGTGTTGATTGGTAAAATTCAATTCAAGTCCAGAAACATAGCATGTGGTCAAAAGAAAATGGAGTTTATATCTTCCACATCTGTACCCCGTACTCCCTTGTATAAGGCCGTGATATCTGAAATGTAGATACCCCATCGAATATCATTCACACAAAATGAGATTTAATATTTCTTACCTTCCTATCGGAAAGGCCTAACACAAAAGTAGGTTCACCACCTGACCTGTTCGCACGAGAGCCAAAATCAAAAAGGGCTTCATTTTGCTTCAACACATGAAACCTTTTCGCAAGAGAAGGAATCAGAAGGATGAATAAACGGAAATTGCTCAAATAACAAGTTTCCGTCAATCAGAGCACTTGTGATCTATTCACAAAAAATAATACAAACCAAAATTCCGTCTCTGCGCAATGTCAATCTAGCCACCCAAATAATATGATTCAAGTCAGATTCAGGGATGCAACTTGAAAGAAATATTAAATATCGATCATGACATCGATAGTCGATACATTAGTCGATTCACCAGTCGATACAAAATTGCGAATATCCCTGCACCATTACAGGCCACTGCCACTAAACGCGACAAACAGTCTTCTACTGGCAAGAGACTATGATGGGAACAACAATATTCATGGGCCTCTGACAAGTGTGTAAGAATTGTTAAGAAGTGGACTAAAATAACCCAACAGTCATCCAGTCATGGACATTGAAAATGAAAACATTTAACAAGATGGAATTATGTAAAGTACCTAAAAACCTAGAAAAGAAATCATTGAGTTACGCAGTGCATCTCTACAAAGCTTCCCTATCACCTATTTTCAGAATTCACACTATGGAACATGAAAAGGCAAATCTTCATGTTACAATATACGTACCTACCATACGGAACGGAACAAATTTTGAATCTATCAATACTAAATTGATCACTTGGTATGTGAAGTTTGAAAAGTTTAGGAAGGTTTAGGAAGTTTAGGAAGTTCGAGGAAGTTTGGGATGTTCAAGGAAATTTGGGAAGTTTGAAGAAATTTGAGGATGTTTGGAGAAGTTCGAGAAAGTTCGAGGAAGTGTGGGAAGTTTGATGTACAATATCTTTTCCCAGTGATTTACCCCTCGGAATATTTGAATATATTCAGAGGATATGATTCAAGCATATCTGTAGCATATTGTATGGTACTCGTGATCAATAGATATTTATACACCAAGATAGTAAAGAATATCAGTATTACCCAGAGACCAAGATTGTATCCCGTGGTAATATTATCCTTTACTACCAAGATGTGTATCACATTTTTTTCACCACTAGCAGGATATTTCAATCACTATAGTTCTGTGAAACTGAAATATGGACTTATTATCATTATGAAAGCACTTCTTTTCAACTCTGATTAAAATATAGTAGTCATATGACCATGACAGCATATTATGACAAGTTATTATTGATAATTCAAGTGCCATTCTTGCGAATCTCCCATAAGAACAGTGAATTCGGGTTAATTATATCAGAGGTGGCTATGTCTTTATTGACTAGTGGTTCATAAAATGACGAAAACGACCTTGGCAGTAAAAACACTTTACGTCTTGAAAAGAAATAAATAATGGTATGTTTCAGAGCAAGTGGTGAAAAAAAAATATATACATAGCATATTCTCAGCATATTGAAGCCACATTGTAAGAATATGCTTGGAATATGATCTCAATATCCTTATACTGCTCAGGAATATCCTTAGCACATACTTGGTTTATTATTTTGCTATGTGGGACAAAACCATGTACCACTTAATAAAATGCAATATATACTAATATTATAAAGAGGAAAGATATAATTGTTTGTTTGTTTGTATTGAATTGAATAGGCTCCGAAACTACTGGACCGATTTGAAAAATTATTTTGCCATTAGAAACCGACATTAACCCTGATGAACATAGGCTACTTTTTAACGTGGGAAAATGCTTTACTCCTAGGGGGAAACGGGTAATAGGGCAACTGGTAGTAAGAATTATCTTTCTATACTTAGCTTTTTCACATAACTTCTAAATGGTTTCGATGGTTTCCTGGATAATTTAAAAATACAATTGGACGCGGTGGGTGGCGCTGCTGTCGGTTCGTGAACTACGACGGCTTGCATGACCGGTTGGGTTGAAATTTGTGATATGTAAAACAACAAAAATCACAAAAGATAATGAGACAATGAAAATAGTTGTAAGTGTACAAGGTGTTTTTGAAATAAGTACATATAATTAGTACATGGATATGATACAGTCTGACGAATATTCCCATGATATCAGATTTCTCCTAACTCTCTCCCGAAAATTGAACAAAAAACGAGAAAAAAATCAAGTTTGCCACTTTCAAACAATTTAAATGATTGAAATCCGCGTGATTGTGTCTTCCGCATGAAAATTTGAACAGAGGTGACGTCAGAATTGCTACAGTGTGGAACTTGGGTGGAAAAAGGATTCTAACCTCAAATTTCATTTCGATCCTAATATTTTTTTATTGGTGTCAGTCGATAGTATACGTCGAGCTTACTCAAAGCGTGAAATATTTGCATTTATTTCAATGCCACCCTGTATAATAGTAGCTCAAGGTAAGCACAAAAAAAAATTACAAAAAAATATTAACTGTAGATGCGCGCATGGCTCAGAACGACTGCAACAAATGTCTCATTTTTTTTAAATGGGTACACCAACCATCCGAAGCCCTTCAGCTAGTATATTAAACCATGTGGAATATGTTATGTATACAAAATTTTAAACCAAAATTTGTATTCCTCTGGGTGACATTTTTTTTGTTCAATTAGTATAACACTTACAGTATAATATCCTTACCAATATCGTCAACTCCTACAATGCTGATATTACATCTGTTTGGTAAAATCAAACCATCAGGTTTCAGGAAAGTATCCCTTGCATGAATGACACTGTCAAGCATTCCTTCAAACAGTAGAAAATAGCCCATCCATTCAGAAATTATTATATCCACTTTGTCTTCAGGAAGGTTAACTCTCTCTAGTTGGCCTTTTATTAAATGGATTTTATCCTGTAAGTTGTTTTCCCTATGAGAATAATGTTAAATATCAGTTTTATGAATCTGTACACCAAATATCAATTTTTAGATATTTTAGGATGCTGTTATATTGTACAATTTAGTTTATTATATATGGTTGTATATATTTTCTCTGCTGATAAAATATGCAACTCTACGACTAAATTTCAAAAAACCTGTCTGTGTGGTATCTTTCAACAAAACCTCTTTGTGTGGTATTGCTAGATCCTTTCCCTAGAGCCTTTCAGAACAAATTTGGAATCAAGAATAAAATACCTCCGTCGTTTCGAATTCACGCTTCGTTCTCTGACGTGTGATCGAAGTTGATTTGTAAGTTTCATGGAAAAACTATTAGTAATTACAACTATCTCTGATGGAAAATAAATAACTATATTTTCCAACTTGTTTTTGAAAACTGCATTGACAGAGTTAAATTCTATCTCAGTATACCAATGTTCTAAATATTTCTGTTCTAATATATTATCATTATAAGTACAGGAGCAATTGTTCACCCTGAGTATTTGAATAGAGTATGTAGAGTCCGACCACAATAACTTAGGGACAGCACGTGACGCAACGCATATGCAAAGTCAACGCTTACGCGACCACGTGGTGTCCCAAAGTTATCGTGGTCGAACTCTAACAACTTATATTGCTACCACTGAGTAACATCCCTCAAAGAGTAGTTGTGCCAAAATTTCTCCTACTAGTAACTATAATCCTTGTTGGATATAAAATAACTTTGTGTTTGCTCCCTCTCTATTTATTGTGATGTTTTATTATTAGAAATTGTTCAATGGTCTGTTCATCTCAGCCTGGCAATATGTAATTTATTTACAATCCTGATTTCCAAATAAAGGCTGTTTTTAATCTGATTTGAATCATGTGAATATTTCATTCATTTATTCAGATATTTAGACACTGTGAATTTATTGAAGAAATACATGAAATGAATATTTCAATTGTTTCATCCAGATTTTGAATAAAAACTATTTTTCATAACAACTGAACAGAGGATTAAGAGAGCTACTCACAGTTTGAGCAAGGAAGTCAGTCTCATTTACAAACACGAAGGTATAAAAAAATTGACAATTGATATTTATATTATAGAGAATAATTATGAAATGTACCTAATGATGTCCATTGCCTTGTAAAGAACTTCAGATTGGTCTACGCCAATAACTTTTTCAGCGCCTGCTCTAGCAGAAAACATTGATAATATTCCAGTCCCACAACCAACATCTAGAACAATTTTACCAGCAAACATTTTTATATTTTTGTATATTGCATCTCTATAGCCCTCTGTTCTCACTGCATCCTGAAAACAAAATATATTAGTAATTGATCACTTCCAATTTGGAAGCACCTACTTACATTGAGCATATCATGATGAATTCCAAAATGAGAATATGAGTTGAAATAATCACTACTATCACAGCCAGATGAAATCACATTATTGGGAATTTTTTTATTCAGGGAGTCACCAGAATCGACTATTGTTTTGGTAACTTTTCTCATATGTTCCATATCTTTATGACAATTTTCCAGCAACATGTCTTTATGCTTCAACTAAAATGAAAAAAAAAATGCCTAAGGGAAGTGGGCTGCCAAAATCTCCAAACTTTACAGGTTGACTAGTGGCACGCATTTCTCCCTTTTTTAGCCCAGTACAAATAGATTTTGGCCGAAACGGTGATGATTACTGAGGTAGACCATTTCCAGTTTGTTGGGACACCTTTCGAAATGATCGTCAGGATGTCCCAATATTCTTGACCCTTTATTCTTCATCAATAAATAGGCGAATAAAAAATGTTTCTAGAAAGGACCAAGGATATTTCTCACTTTTATTAATTTCCTCAAAATAGAAATGATCATTTGATATCAATTTTTCTTATCCAAACGCTAGAAGTTGAATACTTCCTTGTAGGTACGGAGTGATCATGACTAGAGTCACTGGATGGTATTAGTAGATAAGAGTTCGGACACAGAGCTGAACGATTGTCCGTTTCTATTTTCTATATTACAATGGTTTGAGTGAATAAAGGAATGACATATATTCTGCTCTTTGTCTTTTCAACAACAACAACAAAATGAACTTTATTGAGTATAAATACTCAAAAGGCCATCGACCGAGGTCCTTCAGCCACAGTACAGGTTTTATATATCCATATAAAGATTATTCTTAAGAAAATGACATAGTTTCTCTGAAAAAAAAAAGTCATATAACTGGTCTCTATCGTGGTCTTTTCAATTTCCCAAATAGCGCCAGATTGTCGTTTACGGATTACTAGCGTATGAAGGCAGGAGGATGTAAATGACCAACGTAGCGGGAGAACAGCGGCAAGCGCGGGCAAAGATCACCTGTGCTCATCACCTAGCGATGCGCGGCTGATTATACATGTTATTGCATGTTATTTTGTCTTTGAATCGTAGATACTCATAACACAAAACTGACACTTTGAATACTGATATGAGGATTTGAAGGTTGAGGCCATAAAAGGAAATGAAATTTGGATATATATAGTATTCATAAAATATAATATCATTTAGAAAAACCTAAATAACGTATTTCAGCATTTAAGTTTATACATCATGAAACAAACTGAATAAATTAATTCTTAAATTAATTACTAATAATAAGACTATATAGTGAAAATGGCAAGTAAGTTGATATATTATTGTTAGTATATTTGTGGTATAGTAATGGCAACCCATAATCAGTCATAGAATAATGTACAGTGTATTCCATTTGTAAATCTGAAATTGGTAGATATCATTTTCGCCCTATACGGGTTGAACTTCCACAAAAGTTCCCCGTCTCCTTGCAAAAATAATATCGACGTATCCAACTATTTTGTAACAACGAAGATAACTTGTGAATGTGAAGTTCTATATACCTCATCATAACTGTATCTCCGAAAACGGTAAAAAATACACAGAATAGTACATAATATATGTATATTTGAAAAATAAAAACACCTGCCCTGTATTTCAACTTGCCTCTTTCCAGTGCTCTTTGAGTGAAAATATCCCGAGCGATGACAATAAAAATATTTTATCTCTAAAATGAGTTCTATCTTTCAGTTCTACGTAGTTTTTCCATTCGATAAATCGTTCATAAGATGGAATTTCAAGATTTTCCTTAACCAACGTTAAGTCATGCGAATTCTCTAAATGCTTCTCGAATTGATCACTCAAAATGTTTTCACTGCACAATGGACAATCAGATGATGATTTCACCGCACAATTCGCAGGTAAATTGGAACATTTTTTGTGAGGTCTAAAATGTTTCTCATTGTTGAACTTGTATCCGTATCTTTCATTGGAAAATTTATACACTTTCCCACTTTTTTTAGATAGGGCTATCTTATTTGGTTGAGACTTCAAACAATGCCTTCTGAGATGTTGAAAAGAGCTGAACGTTTTTGTACATTCTGCACAACAGCAGTTTGATTCCATTTTTATTTTTATATGTGTGCAACGCACGCAGACCAAACTATAACTGAGAATAAATGAGTAGATATTCTGAAAACAGTTGAATGTCAACGGACTATACACTCCTTCCCTTGATACATAATTCGGCGCCCATTAAGGGTATTGGCTATTTACCTACCAATAATAATATTACGTCACGTCGGTAGGTGATTTGTGCCCACCATAAACAAACTACACTATCGCGCTTGGCAGGGTTCTTCAGACGCTAGTCGATTTTAGAGGTTAAATTTTCTGTCGAATCAATAATAGCCGTAGATGGAAAATAGGAAATGGGTATGAACATCCACTCCAATAATTTATAGAGATATACGGCACTTTTCGCAGAACAGCAGTTATAAAAATAAAAAGAATGTAACAACATTTTAATATGAGAAAATAGACACAAATGGACTTTTTTCTGTTGTGACGGGAAAAAACTTTGACATGTCATCTCTGTTGGCAGGTTATAAAATGTCACTTTTCATAAATTTCTTTTTTCCCGTGGGAAAAGTGAGTACTTTCTTCCCGGATATATATCACATATATATGTACACTGTTGATGGCTTTTGTTGTGCTATAGTTCCGAAAAAAGAGTCAATAATTCCGTCTCCCAGAAAGAACTGTAAGTCCTTTTATCTTCCATTCGACTTCGCGGTTATATATATATATATTACTAAACAACCACTAAATTCGCAATTTTTCGAAACCAGATCACAGACATAGACTGACAGAAGTGACATCAGATATTTGATTTCTTCAAAAGAATGATAAAGATGCCTACAACGCAGGTGTCCCTACTGTTAAAAACTTAAAATTTCATGTTGATAATTTTCAGATTTCAAAATAATGTAATATATTCTCAATATTTATTCGTCCTTACTTCTGTCACAAAAAAATATTAGATTTTAGCTCACGGTTTTTTGTCTCCCTCTGCTACGCGTTGGGAGACAACACAACCTGGCGCTAAAATCTACTAATTTTTTCCCTTGTATAATAATAGTAGATTGTTTTATTAGGATCAAAAGTGACACTGCAATGTAACACATATTGACAAATAATCCATGTGGTGAGAATATTCTACCTGCATAAACAGCAGGTTTATTAAATTATAATTCAGCGCCTCGTCCTCTTGATCACTATGTAGTACAGCCAGTTCTGTACTCAATTGGCCACAAAGTAAGAAGAAGAACAACAAAACTTCTGTCATTTCTGTCCCTCTGGCGCATGTGCTCTCTAATGTCATAAAGCTTTTTTGTGCTCAAATGGCCACATGTTCTGAAAAAATTTCGCGAAAAAAATATGATTTAGGGTAAGAATCGAGGGATTTTACTGAGAAATAACATTTCCTCCTTTCCAGAATGGGTCGATCTTCAAAGAAAAGGAAAAGATCTAGGTCTCGATCCAGATATTCTATAGAAAAAAGGATGAGGGATCTGGAGAGGACCTTGGCCGAATTGAGAGATGATAGCAACACGAGAGGTTCGGCATCTGATCGTAGTACTCGAGACTCGACATCTGATCGTAGTACTCGAGACTCGGCATCTTCTAAGTCAAGAAGTGTCCTACAAGGGGAAATGAGTACGAGAAACTCATCCCCAAATTACAGGCACCATACTAAGGACAGATCTCCATCTTACTAGCCCAGCATAGTTTCAGAAAGGAGAGAGAGAAGCAGGCCGGGACAGGTCCCCCCATGGGTCTCCAGAAGTGGAAACGGCTGAGGCATTGGAGAGTTTGGCAGACATGGACAAGGAAAATGTGTTGGTAACTAGAGATGAAGACCTTGAGGAGGAGGTTTTGAGATGCTTGGGGACAGATCCCAAGTCTACAAACAATGTTACAACTAACTTGCACTAGGCCATTGCCTCACGTTGGGTACATACTGTTGCGAAAGGACTCGAAAAAGGAACTAGACAAGAATTACTTGATAAATACCCTTTTCCTCAAAATGCAAAACAGTTGAAGGAGCCAATCCTGAACCCTGAAATAGCAGAGGTAATTACCCCACATGTTTTGAGACGGGACAATTATTTCTTGCAATATCAAGACCAGTTGGGGTCAGGATTGACAGCATTAGTAGTTGCCTTGAACATGATAGTGGCAGATAAGAGTCTGAATCAGACATTATTGCCAATTATAAGTGATGCTTGCAAGATATTAACAGATCTGCATTACAATATGTCCAATGGTAGGAGGTGCCAAATAACTCCAGGTTTCAGCATATTGGCAAAAGATGTGGGAGACTAACCAAATTGATGAATTTCTATTTGGTGTTGATTTCACTGAGAAATATATAAAAAAAAGCAATACAATTATCAAGCAAAGACATCAAAGCCACAGTTACTCCTTCAACACCTTCCAAAAGACCTTCACAAGAGAATCAAAACCATCAGGCAGCAACAGCATCAAGCCATAAGTTCAACCCTGCAAACAGGAGGCCCGTCCAGCTTCCGGAGAGAAAAGTTGGGACAGAAAGGGCAACCATTTTCTCAAGAGAAATTCAGAGACCACAGGAGGAAGACATACAGGAGGTCAGAACGGTAATTGAGGTAGGTAAACAAGCCCAAGTGGGAAATTTGACTAATAAGATAGAAAACTGGAGAATTCTTACACAGAACAATTTGATACTTAGTTGGATCCAGGGTTATAAAATACAATTCATAGAAAAGCCAAAGCAAACACAAAAACCATACTGTCCTAGGTTGCAGGAACCAGACAAATTGGAGATGACAAGATGTATCCAAGATTTACTAGATCAGCAAGTGATTAGAACCTGCAAACCTAAAAAAGGACAGTTTTTATCAACATATTTCTTGACAAAAAAGGCAAATGGGGAAAATAGATTTATATTAAACTTGAAAAAGTTGAATGAATTTATTGAAACTCCACATTTCAAACTTGAAGACATCAGAACAGCATTACGGATGGTGTATAAAAACTGCTATATGTCTACAATTGATTTAAAAAATGCATATTACTCTATCAACATAGGTGAGAAGTTTCGAAAATAATTGAGATTTGAATTCAATGGAGAACTATATGAATTTGTATGTTTACCATTTGGGTTGTCATTAGCCCCTTATCTTTTCACCAAGATATCTAAGCCGATAATTGCTAACTTAAGGTCTAAAGTCATATTCTGCGTTGTCTATTTAGATGATTTTTTCATATTTGGAAAAGACACAACTGAATGTTCCAAAAACGTTTCTGAAACATTAAATGTTCTGGAAACACATGGGTTTAAAGTTGATTATAAAAAAAGTAATTCAGTGCCATCTACAGAATGTAAATTTCAAGGTTTTATAATTAATAGTCTGAAAATGACAATTGAGTTACCTAAAACAAAAAGAGAAAAGATTTATAAAATCCTTGAGAAAATGGGAAATTGTACAATCCGATTTTTTGCACAGTTTGTAGGTTGTCCAGTGTCAGCCTGCCCTGCTATGAAGTATGGCTTACTGTACACAAAATCTTTTGAAAGAGTCAAGTTCCTAGCTCTGAATAAAAATAACCAAAATTATGATTCCATCATGGAAATTCCCAAAGAGGTGGAAGATGACGTGAAGTGGTGGAAATCCAAAATATTCACATCCGTAAATAACATATGTGAAGATGTCTTCCACATGGAAATTTTTACTGATGCTTCCCTTTCTGGATGGGGAGCTATATCTAATGGGGAAGAACCTAATGGTTGGTCGTCTCAGGAAGAAGGCAGGCATCATATGAATGATCTAGAATTGCTTGGTATTTATTATGGCCTCCGGTGTTTTGCCAAGAATTGCCACTCTAGCAATATTGTAGTAAGAGTTGATAATACCACAGCATTATCTTATGTGAACAGAATGGGCAGTGTTCAGTTTGCAAAGTTAAATAAGGTTGCTAAATAAATTTGGAAGTGGTGTGAAGACAGGGATATTTGGGTATATGCAACATATATCAATACAAAAGAAAACGTGGATGCTGATCGACAGTCCAGACTGATGCCAGATGAAACAGAATGTTAACTAAACAGAATGGAAACTAAACGGAAAATACTTTCAGAAAATAATATCTGTTCTTGGATCACCTGATATTGACTTATTTGTCAGTTTTAATCTTCTCCTGAAGATGCTAACATAGTTAGCAAAACACGTGTCGAGGCGTTAAAAAATCTGTTTGGTTAGTGGTAAAACCGAGGGTAAAACAGTGTAGTGTTGTTTATTCTTGATGACATTTAGTAAATCCTTTTTAGTTCCTAGGAGCTAAAGACAGTAATAGAAATGTCAATTTGAGAGCTAATTTTGGTATCAAAATGGACGACTTTTGTGTCTGTTGCAGAAAAATAATTATAATTATAGCTAGTTCAGTTGGAATTGAAAATGTCATTGAATGATATATCACATTGCAATTTACTTGATTTCCTCAGTTTAGTTCTTAAATTTTCAGTTCCATTAAGTAGGTAGTTTTGCAATCAATTCCTCTTTCTCCATGATAATTTTGTTTTGCATTGCATGTGCTGATAATATTTTTTTAATAGTGTTTGATTAATGAAAATGGTTTGGACATATTTCATGGGACTCTTGATAGTTTCAAAACACTGATTAACTCTGTACTTTGAAACATGGAGCTCTTTTCATAAGTTAGATTTAGACTTAAGACTAGTATTAATAATATTTATCTTTCAAAATTTTTTTTTTATGTAATGGGGTTTCCCGTAAATAAATAAATAAATAAAAATAAATAAAATAAATGGATGGAACAGCAAATATTGAATTATATAAATAACTATTGCAGGCTCAAAAGCTGCTGTGCAGTGTTTTGCTGGATTTTTTACAAATGTAAGGAAACCAATTATTTTGGAATCCACCATATGATTTGGCAGAAAATTATTTTTAAACACAGAGTTCCTAGACATAATTAGATATATTCCTAGCCCAAAACCAGCTTAGTAGCTTTTTGCAAAAGTATTGGAAATAATAATTGTTCATGAAATTTCCTTTCCACCATGCTTTTATTAGATTGGTATGTATAATTTTATGATTGTATGTAATGTGGAATCTTCAGACATGATTTTGGCCCACTTCAAAACAGCTAATTGAATTGAAATTTCTGAAAACTTCCCACACTTATCAAGAAGGGATGACAATAGTAATAGTTTTGTTTCATTCCTTTTCAGGATCTTCAGGATGAGCAATTTTTTGTTTATTGAATGAAATGATGAATGATGTTTTACCACAAAAATTTCAAAATGATCTGTCATCAAAATTTCAAATGTGCATTATTTCCTTTGAATAAGGTCAAGGAATATTTTTTCAAGCCTCTACTTAGCTACTAGCACTTACTATCTGCTATCATTATACAATTTGCAAGACATTATTTTCTAATATCACCACTCTAGTTATAGTTTCCTACCTTCCTGCTGTGTGTGCAGAAGAATGAATGGAGAAAAGAACAATTTTTAATAGCGAATTCCATTCGTAAACCTGGTGGTGCACTGGTTTTGCACCAGTTTTGCACCCGCACTACGTTAGTTCTCTCCAAAATGTGAACTGGTGCATTCCCAATGGAATACGAAATAATATAATAAAATGTTATTGTTGGAGGTTAAATCGGATAAATTGGTTTGTCATTGTTTATAACTTGTCCGTATCCTGAAATTCTTTCTCGACTTCAATTAAAAACGTAGTAGATGTTTCATGGAAATGATTCTGAGCAGATATTTTTCAATAAGAACCTCTTCATCATTGAATTTTAGTGCAAAACACTCAACAAAATTATGGATTCTTGGAAGTAGTCTCCTTTATTTCTTGAAACCTCCAATTTTTTATCACTACTTGATGATGATGATTCGATTACCACTTAATTTTGGTTTTCAAACTATGCATATTCAATGTTTCCGCCATTTTCAAAACTGCACCTACTTCGCACGACCTGTTAGAGCTCGTGCGAGAATTGTTGCACTGAGCTCTAAACTATGTGAACCAGTTTTCCAATGAAATTCAAAACCCGACACCAGTTTTACCAATGGAATACAAAATATGCACTTAGTGCGACCCAGTTTTACCAATGGAATTCGCTATAAATGTTTTATAATATGATACTATTTAGTGAGGAAATAATCATGATAGCATGATTCCAGACACAAAAAAGCAATTGTTGTGCATAGCCTCCTAACTGTACACTCTTTTATAAGTATCTAGGTCCTGCTGATTGACTTTGATTTTGTGTTTATAATACACATTGTCTTGACTTCATGCATATCAATTGAAACCAATAATCAATAGCAAAAAAAAGGGGGAAAACACATGCCACTTTGTTAACCCATTTCATGTTGATAACTATTATAACTTAATAAACCCCATTTTTATATCCATATCTAGTTACCTGTATTGTCAACTCTTGTATTTGTCTCTGTAAATCTGAGAAACTGAGGTTACTAATAGGTGCTTTACCATCTATGGCATAGTGTGGAGTAGATGGTGCACTCCCAAGATCATCAAAATCTGAAACAAAATATGATGTATATGAACTGCACTTCATATTATGAAGAAGTTATTTACCATACATGAGCCAGGTCTCCATATCTCCAGGTTTCAAATAAACATCATCCTCCCAAAGAGCAACTGAAGATTCTGTAAGAATTTTGGGATGAGGCTTCTGTAGTCTAATATAATTGATCATTTTGATATATGAGTAGCAATCCATATCATATTTAGCTTTCAATGAAAGTAAATCAAAATTATGGTCAGATCTACAATGGTCTAGTGCTACAGCTATTGTGTGAAATTGGAGAGGGCAGAATAAGCAGGTGGTTTGTTCCCCACTGACTTCCATTTCATCCCATCCATCAGAGTCATCATCTTCATTTCCTCTTTCTCCAGCACATGTTTCCAACAGAGGTGGACAATCTGAGAGAAATATAATTTTTCCATGATATGTTTACAAATAAATTATAATCATATTTATATTATTACCTTCCTCCTCTACAGACATGTTTTCAAGAAGTTCTGAATTTCAAAGTAGTAAAATCTGTAAAATCTAAAACCAGTTCAAAAGTCAAAACTGTAGGTTATGTTTTCTTCTTCTTTGACTTTTTACGAGTGACGAGTGCCTACCGACAGTTGCTACACACTACATCTATCAGTCTGGCTTTCATCAAAGAAGATTAACGCTACGCGAGTATGATCCATAGAAATCTTGAGTATAATCTGCGTTAGATAGATCTGCGATAAGATACGATAGATTACACCTAGATTACACTAGGTGCGTTTTTTGACGCTAACCTAGTTCTGTAACAGCTGAGATGTAACAGCTATTCTATGCGTTTTCTTGAACTCGCGCCTACAATTTCAAAAGTTATTCGCTCTGGCTGCTCGATATATTTCGATCGAACAGGACGATGGACTAAGATATCAAGAAGAGAAATCGAACAAAATGGCGGTATTGAATGTTCATTCTTGAGGTTTCTGATTTTCTCACCCAAAGCTAGTGAGTGAAAATAGTGAAAGTTTATATTACGAAGGAATATGGTATTTGTTATAAAATTGGATAGGAATTATGTCGCTGCCAGAAGGATTTTTCCATTGAGAATTCGGAGATTCAATAAAGTATCATTTTCAAAAAACTACAGTATTTCTCCTCGACGTTGAATCTATGCAAAGAATGCTATTACATGAGGAAAAGAGTCAGGTTGCAGGTTACCAACATGAAATTTTCGTTTTCTTGATCATTGTATTTTATTATTTGGGTTGAATCCGTTTTCTAGCACAACCATTCCATTCTATTCCACAGGTTATCAACAAAACCGCGGTTCAGTGACCCAAAAGGTTTCAGCATGCCACATCTGCTGCCCGAGGTTCATTTCTTGTTAGGTTGGTTCGTATTTCATTCCATCGAAGATGCGCTTTTGTGTTGTGACGTCAACAATTTTATGATGGAATTTTTGATGGAACAAGGATGGAACCGATGCTGCAATGAAATATAACATATAACCATATACGTATTAATAAACAATACGGATCATAACGGGTGCCAGGATGAAGCCAAAAATATGAAACAAATGAATATCCATAAGGATTTGGTGGCATGATACGCATGCGCCATGCGCTATTATAGTAGCCATCAAAGACATGCGTTTCGGTGGACAATGACGTTTACTAGCCTTTCAATCAAAGCAGTATGTGTCTGATCGTTTCAAAACTTTTCCTTATGGATAGTCATTTGTCTTCAAAAATCGGCTTCATGTTTCGCTATGGAAACATATAGAGATTATCCGTATTGATTATTAATACGTATATGCATATAACACACATTAGTGATATTCTTTCATTCTGAACTGACACGTTTCACTTGAACTGAAGTGAATCATTTGACATACAATGTACATAATGAACGTCATACGAAAGAACGATCCTTCAGTTTCAGTGAAATATTTCAATTAGTTTAGAATGAATAAAGAATATCACTCAAGGTTGGTAAAACTGATTATAATTTGTATGTAATTGTGACAGTGTGTCATATATCTTTATAATCAGTTGATTCGCGGTAGTCAAGGTCATCATCTGACTTTGTATAGACATGAAAACCACGGGAAAACATTCCTTTCTAGACATGTTATTCTGTAGTTTTTAGGGAGTTGAAGCCACTACAAAAACTTGCAATCACGTATGAACGTAAACGTGAATAGAAATACGTAGGTACGTGTTCAATGAAAAGTAGCTTTGAAGCTACCGTATGGTTGAGATCGTATGGTATAGTTTATACGAAGTCAGTTGAAAAGGCCAAACAAAATTTTAACCGGCCGCATATCGACAAATCCTCTGACAAGCCGCAACTCACAGCGACGGGCAATAGTATATTATTCAACGAGCGTGTAATGATGGCTATTACTCATGAGAATGAAGTTTGTGACGTAAGCCTGGAGGCAAAATATCAAAACACAACCTCATTCTTCTGTAAATTATTGAAACACAACCTCACTTTTTTATTTGGTAACAGAGAAATCAAAGGATTGAAAATATTGATGGTATACGAATCGTGTTTCTTGCATTATTCATTGATTCAAGCATGCCTTCGCATTGTGCTGTTGTACAATGCACAAAAAATGCAGCAGGAGACTAGGGAATATGATTTTTCAGGTAAATAGTAATCTCACATAGTTATCATTATGAAATGTTGTCATTCCTTATTAAAATTCCTTCTGCCTTCTGCCACTTCTGCAATACAAGCTAATACTGCTAATAGATTGAAAATGTCTACAACACACAGCAGCATGTCAGACCAGTCCTCCCGATTGATTGCATGAATCCAATCTTCTTGAATTATTCTAGAAATTTCAGGTATATTTCTATTAGCTCTTATTGCAGAAAGAATTCCGATGAGAAATCAGAGAAATAACCAAATTTCAAAAATGAAAACTATATGCGAGTGACTATAGTAGGTACTTTCTTTCGAATCATAATGTACCATCCGGATTCCTTCATCTTCCGCTGCAGTTTTTGTGCATTTTACAACAGCACAATGTGACGGCATGAGCGAATTGATGAATAGCGGAAATCATATGCCAAAATAATTGTGGAAAATTATTTTTTCTCCGATTGGCAGCAAATATTAATTTTGCTGACACATATCAATCAGCAAAGTATTACTTTTCCTGCCTAGGCAGCAAAGTGGGTACTTTGCTGCCTAGGCAACAAAGTGGTTACTTTGCTGATTGATATGTGTCAGCAAAATCAATAATCCATAAATCGTTTATAATTTCCATCATATTTCATCCGAGACTTCTCCGGCAACAAATTCAACTCTATATTTTTTGCCACCTCCATTATTTCTGAAGGTGTAAGTATACTTCCAGGTCGCTATCACTGTCCATTATATAATAATTTAAATATACCGATATTTTTTCGCACAACTGTCAGAAATTTCATGAATTGTCAAACCATAATTATTATGGACATTTCCATAGCAACCAACCATTCCAACAACTGCGATTTCTATCAAATTTCATTTTGATTGAACACTACAGGAAAATTAAAGAGATTGTGGGAATCGTAATAATTTGCAAATACAATATCCTCCTATATCATTATGAACAATCGGAGAAAAAATTATATGTTCAACTCGGCAGCAAAGTAGATTGACTGCCTAAGCTGTATTCCTAGCCTCGCTACGCTCGGCTATGAATTCAGCCTCGGCAGTCAATCTACTACTTTGCTGCCTAGTTAAACAAATAACTATCGATCACTTGTAAACAAATAAGAAAAGTGACGTTGTGTTTCAATGTTTTGCCTCCAGCGTCGGTCATCTGACAGTTCTTGCACGCCATAGACCTTGACTGACAGTACTGACACTACCGACAGTGACAGAGACTGTGACAGGAATTTTGACTGAGAAAAGTAATGAGAATAATGAATGACAAAATGACATAAATGGACTGAGGAGTGATCCAATTTCACTTTTTTCTACTTGTTACTAAAATTTGTGCATATGAAATATTATAATTCAATTTGTTGTGGATATAAATAATCTTACATACATAAAGATATCGACGGTGAGCGAAATAATGTTTTGATTGTGGTTGGGACTGTTGTATAAATAGTGGCATACAGGGATCATTCTTCAATAGCTCTATTTATTATTTCTCAATACATTTTGGTTTTATTATTGGCGGATTACCAGACAATTTTTTTGAACCTCGGAGTTGATAGAGTAGTATGGAAGTAGGTAGATGTTTTTGTTTCCAAAAGTCAGTAATTTTCAATTGCATTTTCTTCTTTTAGCCCAGTAGTGAGATACCTTTTTATTTGCTGAAGTATAAATTTGGACTGTCCTGTTCAACCTTGTCCTTGTCAGCCGAATGAAATGATATTACATTTCTTTGTGTTGATAATATAGGAAATATCTATTTTTATTTATATTTGTGGGAACTGGGGATTATTTTTGTTTTGTGGTTCTTTTGAGGTGAAAGTGTCATACAGACTTCTCACTTTCTCTTGTTCAGGAAGCATTTCATTCAATACTCACAACTCACAACAATGTTAATAAGTCACTAGGTTTTTCAACTTATGGCAGTGCAGAAAGGATCTTACTTGATATCCTTTTTGAAATGTGTTCAGTATTCCTGGTCCTTAAAAATTAGACTTGTGAAGTTGTGAACTAGGACTTTTGATTAGTGTTCAATGAGGTGTATACATCTACTTCTAGCTGTTTATTTCCATATTCCAAAGGTACCCAAGTGATACAAGTATGGTTAATTACCTGAAATAAAATGATGGTGATATTCAAGGTTTTGAAAGAAATTCAGTTTTATTTAATAATTTCATGTATCCACAATTGATAATAACCTACCAAGCTCCCTATTTAACTCATATATAGGAATAAAAGATAAATGTATTATTCTCTTTATAGGCATAAGAATATGGATGAAACTAATGACATAGAAATGTCAATTGAGGATATATCAGAAATTGCAACTGATGATCCTTCAACTGTAAGAGAATTCACCAAGAAAATCATAGAAAAATGGCGGGACAGATTTGCAAAAGGTGTAATCACTTCAGCACATTTTGAAGAGCTTTGGAGAGTCTGGGTTCCTAAAATTTACAGCCCATCTTTGAATGAGAGCTGTCTCAACTGGAATTTCAATGAAGAGTTAGCTCAAGATGTACTGTTCAACACTCTGGATGAATTCATCTGCAATGGAGATCCAAACATAGTTCTGAAACAGCTTAGCGAACTAGACAAGGCACCTTCAGTAAGTGTTCAGTGTTTTGATTTTTAAGAGAGAGATAGCTTGAGAGAGAGAGAGAGAGAGAGAGAGAGAGAGCAAGAGAGATTTTAGTCTGAAAAATAAGAATATTAATTTATAAATATTGAAAAAATAATGTGAATTGAAATTTACATTGACTTGACTTTAAATGAACTTGACATTATTTTTAAGGGTAATTACCAGGGTAATTTAGAGAATTACATAAAAAAGTACCCTTTGTTTGATAACAAACCAGCAGGAAAATATTTGAGTCACCAAATATAAATAATCAAAATTCATTGAACTGTTGAAAGTTTTGTATTGGTAGCATAAGAAATAGCCAAAGGTAGTATTTATTCTGAAGCACTTGATATAATCTTTTCACTTGCTCATATGAAATACCACATTTTTTAATCACTCTAAAACCAGCCAGAAGTTTCTGCCTAGACTACACAAATTATTCAAAAGCTGTGCCATACCACCAATGGTCATCTATTATTGATTTTTCTAGCCATGAACTTACTTACCAAGGGGTCAACAACTATGTCCAATATGCTTACACTTGGTGTCCAATCCCCATGTAATCTGTCCAATCTGAGGTCCAATCTTAGGCCAAATTCTTATTATGCAAATGTCCATTCTTGTGACATATCAGATAATCCATGTAAGTTTTTGCTAGAGTGGATTACCCCTCATATGTCTGTGGATGAAACTTTTTTCTATGAAAGCATTCCTCTGAGGATATTTAATGATCCGTATATCTCTCAATATTTAGTCAGGACAAAATTATTCCCACAGGACCACTTTTCAGAAAAAAAAAATCATAACTTCATCAAAATACATATTATGGATGAGAGTTTTTTCTAATAATGTATTTTTCTGATGATACTTTATAATCTGTATCTCACAATATTATGTCTGGCAAGAATTTCCCCAGCAAAATCCCTTTTTGCAAATTTCAGAAGAAAATCATAACTTTTTCAAAATACTGGTGGATGGGAATTTTTTGTATGAATGTATCTCTTTGATGGTACTTTATAATCTGTATATCCCACAATATTATGTTGGGCACGAATTTACCAAACAGGACCCCTTTTTGGAAATTCTCAAAATAAATAATGACTTTTGAAATACACATGGATGGGAGATTTATTTATGAATGAATTCCTCTGATGGTACTTAATGATCTGTATATCTCATCATATTTTGTCTGGCAAGGAGACAACAACCATTCAGAAATACAAAAATAAAGAAAAAACAATAAATACACAATCCAGCACACATTAGAATGTTTTGTTCCTTTCTCAATCCTCAGAAATACAGTCTTTCTTATTAATATATATGGTAATTCTTTCAATAACTGTTGAGGTATATGTTACATAAAACACTCAGAATTCAATTCAATAGTAAAAATGAAATTGAAAATGGGTGTTTCTATTTGAGAACATGAAGTTGACAGTGGTAACCTGTTTTTAGGCTACCATGAGTTTGGCATCAAAAGAACAGCATTGAAATAGGTATAATATGAATATATTTTGAGACTACAAAGTTAGCGTATTGAATGAAATGCTCAGTACACTATATATTATGAATTGAATACTTGTCTCATTTCAATGAGACAATTTTCCCTTGTGATAATTTGATATTGTTAAATATTTATTGACCTATGTACATTTATTTATTTTTTATCCTTACTACAAGGTTAACTTCATAAGGTTTTTCCCAGTTTATTCAAATTACCTATATGTTTATTCCAATGTATATTTTGTAAACGTTTTTGAATAAACTTATATTATTATTATTATTATTATTATTAGTAGCAAGTATATTTGGTTGATTTCCTAATATACTGAAATAATATTATAATGCATGACCCAAGCTTTTCTATGGACCTAGTTGATTGGAAAAAGTATATTTTATCAAAGTGAGATACCCAATTATATTATATATACTAGTGAAATATTCTTATGCCTGCCTTGGTTTGCCTTACACATTGTAAAATATTTTATACAATTTCCCTAATAGCTAACCCAAAATGAACAGACAATTCCTTCACCACTTTTAATTTTTTTATAATTACCAGATAGGAATCAACTTCAGGAACTTGATGGTATCTGGTTGGAAAAAAACTCATCCATGTGTATTTTGAAAAAGTTATGATTGCGGATGTTTTCCAAAATTTTGAAAAAGGGGTCCTGTGTGGTAAATTCTTTCCCAACAAAATATTGTGAGATAAACAGATTACTAGGTACCCAACCAGTGTGAAAGCAGCAACCTGACCTCATCCAGCAATGAAAGAGATCAACAGGGAAAGGCCACAGAGAGACAATATCAATAAAACTTGCTCAAACGGAATTAGAAATGAAAATATTAGGAATTTCATGATTTAATCTGCTATAATGAATGGAAAACCCTTCACTTAACAAGATCAGATAGTTGTCTGATTTTGTAGCATCCATTCCACCTGTTACAGACAAACTTGATATTTTATGTACATTGTATACTTTTGTTTAATGTTTCCACGGAAAATAATAATTAGGAGGACTCAGGTGGAGAGATAGAAAATTTAATCCATTATATGAGCTCAATAACATAGCTGTTGGATGGCCACTTTATTGTATTGTATTGTATATTTGTTGACATTCACATATATGATCAAAAAATTTTAAGTCAGGGGATCGTGAATCCATCAAAAATTACCGAGGTATTTGTATACAGTCTACTTTGCCAAAACTATTAGATAAACTCGTCACTGCCAAATTAACATGGTCCTGCAAGAATATTATAATACCTCAGCAACATGGTTTTTGTTCAGGAAGATCAACGGTAACCAACTTGCTGTCTTATCAGACATTTCTGTTACATGCCTTGGAGAGGGGTGAGCAAGTTGACGCAATTTACACAGACTTCTCCAAGGCATTTGATAGAGTGGACCACAAGATACTTTTAGAGAAACTTCACTCCCTTGGCTTTGCGGATAATATTGTGAAATGGCTGCGCAGCTTCCTCACTGGCCGCTCTCAAAGAGTTAAAATCAACAATTATATATCTAACGAAATTATGGTTACTTCGGGTGTCTCTCAGGGCTCTCACTGTGGACCTTTACTCTTCAATTTATTCATAAATGATATCTCTGATGTAATCAAAAGTGCAAACTTTTTATTATTTGCTGATGACTTGAAGTTGTTTCTCGTTGTTGATGATATCCTAGACAGTCAAACTCTTCAAAACGACCTTGATAACCTTCATTTATGGTGCGTTCAAAACAGTCTTGCTTTAAATACTGATAAATGTTTTACAATATCGTTCTCCCGCTCATTTAATGCTTCCTCATATAACTACAATATTAACAACACGATCCTTGAAAAAGTAACTGAAATTAAAGATCTTGGAATCATCTTTGATGAGCGTCTCACCTTCAAGAGTCAACTACTGAAAGTATCAGCATCTGCTAATAAAATGGTAGGTTTTCTAATGCGTAATACAAAACATTTTTCTTGTAACACAGTTAATACTTTATACTGCTCTCTTGTACGTTCCTTATTAGACTATGGTTGCATAATCTGGTCGCCACATTATAACTGTGATATCACACTAATTGAACAAGTCCAAATGAGATTTGCCAAGCACATTTCTTATAAAATGGGAACTTACAACAATTTCAATTATACAGATACTCTCAATGCCCTCAACTTAACCAACCTATCTATCAGACGCTTTCGGCTCGATAGTATCACCATGTTCAAGATTATCTCAGGTGTGATTGATTGTTGCGATCTTCTCAATATGATAAACTTCAATGTTCCATCATATTTCACTAGAAACACTGATCTTTTTACTATAAAAACTCATAGAACTAATTATGGGTTCTTCAGCCCATTATCACGTATTTTGCGTAATTTCAACATATTAAACATTGATCCATTTGTCCATTCCTTAACTGATTTTAAAAATAAAATTTGTATAGTTGATCCTGGCTCGATCCACAATTAATCTATACTTTAGTGTTAATTTCTAAAGGTTGGTTAATACAGGAATTTTGTTTTGTATCCTTCAAACCAAACCATATAGTTCAAATTTGAAATTTCAATCAATATCAATGCTATATTATTGTTCTTATGCCATCTTGTCAATCTGTAATAATTAACTATTGTAATGGTGAATCCGTTTATTAAATAAATAAATAAATAAATAAATAAATAAAGTACTTTATTATTATTAATGATAATTTATGATTGATGGAATTTGTGACTTTCTGTGAATAAAAGTTAGTGTCAATTGTATCCATTACATTGGTCCTACGAGCGCAAAATTGACCACTATGGAGCAAAAAAGTCATACCGGAAATGACCTGGAGAGGTCAGAAGAACATGCCGAATTAATAAGGGTGTTTCACCCAAGAGATTTTCAGCAGTAGACAGAGCGAATCTCAGTTTGTGTATGTCTGGCGTGGCAGATCATATGAGGGTTGCTGATAAAGTGCATTCTGTTGAAGCTTTGAATCTGGAAGGGCCACCTAGGAATGATAGAGAACGTCGACTTACATGGTCAGAAATCGTTCCATTAGTGACTGTTCACGCTACTGAATAATAAAAAAAAAACAGATGAGAAGAAAAATCAGTCTCGTCAAAGAGCTCTACTCTTTCCAAATCGACTCCTTTAGAAGCAAGAGGAACTTGATGAAAGAGACTTGCAAGAAAAAATTATATCCTTCAAAAGGCAACGAGAATATGCAAAAAAGGAAATTGAAATACAGAAGCAAATGGTCGAGATGAAGAGTGAAGTGGATTCTCAAGAATCAGTTGAATGTTCTAGTCAAACTGTATGGTAATGATACGGCAATGAATAAGTGGTTGCAAGAAGCTAAGTATCAAATTAGCAATAGTCAACATATTGGTATTAAATGCAGTTTAGGAGTTGAACCGTTACCACCGATACAACAAGGCCTGCATGCTCCGTGGGTGACGTCACTTAGTGAGGCCTAACCTGCGGCTGGAAACGACAAG